TGTACTTATGAGAACAAAAGTTTGACATCGTAGATGTTGTTGTTCAGATGCGGCAAAAAAGCAAAACAATAAACAGAAAAGTATCCGAAAGGAAACGGAGACATTTTGTTTTGAGCATTTGGCACGTATTGATGATGACTATCAAATGGGACGGTGTGTTTATTCAAGCATTTACAAAATGTGAACATCACATTCCAACACAGCATAGCACATGCACTTAATACACATCAATTTGGAGATTTTACCTTCGTTTTCCCGTAAATGCCCACCATTTAACGCAACAGTAAGTAATCGCACAAAAGATTTCGTTCAACCCAAAATGATTTGAAATCCGCAGTCTAAGCAATAAGAATATATTTGTGGCGTCAAAGCATTTGAGGTGACATTTTGGTCACAACTTTAATCAAGAAGAAAAACACAACAATCAAGAAAAAACACTTTCATCGAGAGTCAACAAAAATAAATCCTGCCTAATGTTACACGGCTGTGTCGATCAACTCGAACTCATTCAAAATCATTCGCCGCATTCTTATATGATCCATTTCTATGGTGAACTGTTGACAATTCCAGGAAAAACGTGAAGAAAATCGACAATCGTGTAATGAATTTGATGCGATGAGCTCCTAATTTGTAGTAGATCTTAAATGTTAATTTTCTTTGAATGCGCATTGCTCATCGCTCCGTTGCTTGCCATTATAGCTACACTTGGAAATTTGTTGTTCGTGGCCACACCACGCAATTTGTACGATGAGATGGTGAGCAAGAGTGTACACAGAAAATGTATGCAGCGCACAAAGGAAAAACGCTGTTGATAGATTCCATGTGCAGCCACAACCAGCGACTGGTTTACCTTTCGTTTGTATCGCATTTGCATAATTATGATAATTGCGTTTCACACAGTTTTTCGCTCCTGTTGCTTTTTGCCCACTTTGAGTGTGTGTGAGTGTCGTTTTCTTTGTTCGCTGAGTCTGTTTCCCAGCTGCGACATAAGAATGAAAATAATGTAAACAGAATAGTAAATTCCAGTTGAATGGAGAGTGAGCGAGAGTGTACTGCGTACTCGCTGTGTCAGCAACAAAGAAGCCACGTAATGGCTCATTGTAATGAGCAAGAACAATAACAATAACAACTACAATCCAAAAGCGTTAGCTACTTTGAATAATGTGAATTGTGTGTGTGCATTGGACAGGAGACAAAGAGGGAAAAAAGCACATACACCTGAAAAGCTTTTTAGGTAAATAGCTGTGAAAATTTCAATGTGGAACACGACAGTGCATAACAAACAGCATTCATTATAATGAATATTGCATTCGCAGCTTCTGGCCAAATGAAAATGTGTGCGCACGTTTTTATGTCGCATTTTAGCCATCTCATTAAGCAATTGGATGTGTATAGAAATGTGCGCAGCAATTTTAATCCACTTTATCCCCCTCAGCTGTGTGCGATGCTACTAATTAGAGCATTGGTCGCTTTTCGTTGCCATTTCAATGTTGTTCAGCTCACGCATTCAGCTAAATCGTTCCATTGGATGAGAATGAGAATTATTGGAGATGACGCATTTAAATTTCAACATTTGTTGTCAGCGTAGTTTCTGGGCTTTAAACTACGTCACTTTTTACCGGAATTCTCATGTCAGTGAAAGGCTTCCACCACTACTTTGGTTCATTTCCATTAATTCGGTACATTGAACATCCAAACCCTCAAGACAAAAATGTTCATTCGCCTAAATCATTCAACTCTACTCCACCTCACCTCCGCATCCATTCTCATCCCACCCGGAAAATAAACAATTTGCTTTTTAACTCACGTCAAAAAATGAATGAAAAAAAAAGAATCCATTGAGTTACCCGAATGACCACAAAAATGAAAACGCTATGTCAACGAAACATGTCATGTGACCCTTCATTATATTCACTCGCTTCCCCTGCTATTTTGTCATCGTTAAAACTTTGGCCGGAGGAAATTGATGCGAAAGCACAGCACGGCCAAACAGTTTGCCCAAAGCAATCGTTTGCCCAGAGATTTTCCACACGATTTATGGACTTCACTGTTTCAGTAATCTTAAAATGGTTTTAGCTTGTGGAATTAAATTTACAAAATCTCCAAACTGAAGCGAAACAACAGAAGCGTTCCCGGTCTCTCTGCTATCTGCTCTCTTTGCCACTAGCCATCGTCAATCCTTTGTTTCATGCAGCGCATGTCTGAATTTAATCATCACATTAACCGCATTTGACAAAGTTTTGCATGGAATTTATGATCAACTTTTTAAAAAACGAAAACATACGCCACAACTGCCGAGTTATACGCTGCATAGCATCCACTTTATTTCGGTATGATATCAACTATAAATGATTTTCCGGGTCATAACTTCGCAAGAATTTAGTGTAATGTGCGACAGAGAGAAATGAGAAAAAATTAAATTGTTGTCGATGTAGCCGCCGTCTCATGCAATTTATATCTATCAAAAGTTTAGAAGCAATTCTTTTTCTCTTTCTCTTGCCAACGAAATGATGCACGATCTACCGTAAAAATGGGAATGAATTCAAATAATTTGTAATCAACGGTATTTCTGCCATTGTTGTCGTCATCAACACACGAGAAAGAAAGAAGATATTCACGTTATTTATATGCCATATTTCTGAGTTGCAGGGCAAAAGAACCAGTGAAAAAAAACCATAATAACAAAACATTAAATGAGAAAAATCCCTAAAAATAAATGGCCGTGAGCGGCACACCAGTTCATGTGGTGAATAAATCGTCAAATACAATCCATCGTTGGCAAAAATATACAGCGGAACAGAAATAAAAAAAACTACAACTAAAGTATATGATATAAAGTTTATGACAACGACACACACATACGCGAACGGGAAAAATGTGCTACAGAAAAACACAGCGCATTTTTCTTCAATTTAATAGTTTCTCAAACAATCCTCGGAGAGCGAAATGAGAGCGAACAACGACGAGATTTTCTATCAATTTCATTCGTTCGTAGCTCGGCGAAAAAGTTTTCGTTTTTATTTTGTCACGACCATCCATACGTGGGAAATCAAATAATATCCCGTTAGTAGTTTGTGCACTATCCCATCCTCCTCCTCCTCTCTGATGAAATGTTGCTGCGTTTCTTTTTCATCCCACTTAATGTTCTCTCGCTTCTCTTTTTTTCTGGGAGAGATCACGTTAACTGTGAAAAATGCATTCCCACTTCTCATGTGGAAAATGCGAAAAAAATGAAGTGCTTTCAATTCCACAGTGCATCTTTTTTTCGCTCATCGTAGTTGTTGGTGTGGTCCACACTTTTTGCAAACAAGCAAATGTAACTGTGCAGAGAAATGATACCATGAAAAAAAGGCGGGAACTGCAAATATATACCACTCATGCGACGTTACGTGTTATTTAGCATTATCTTTGTCGTTATGCAATTGATATTGCATTGTCTTGTCGGTGGCTTTTTTGTAGACTGAATTCTACGAAAAGTCCTCTCTATTCAAATGAGAATGGAACATTGAATGATAAACTCCGACGAAGCAGCCTCCTTGTTACCAGATCTTCTTGATTATGAACCGGCAAATCGTGAAGAAAGGGATGAAAATTGTGGAAAAAGGCATAAAAAACTCATTTGGATTAACGCAATGCGGAAGTGATTAAATGAAAAACGATTTTGAGCGTTTATTTAGGACTGGAATCAACTAGTCAGAAGGCAAGCTAAAAGTGCATTCATATCGCAATGAGTATTTAGTTCTACAGACGGGAGATATTCACATTGATATTAAAGACGTTTATTAATTTTAATTAGAGGAATGGATAAGACTTAATTTGAATTGAATGAAACTTAAAAAAAACCCTTTGACGGCTTCAATGCGAGAAACTTAGCGTCAAATCCATTGAATAAAATGCACATTCATTTTGAAGCTTCATCGTTTAGCAAAATTATTTCATACTTCATCCAGATCTCTAGTTATGCACAGTTTTTTTTTCAAAATCTCTAGATTTTCTTTATTCAATCTTTTTTTGATTTCGTTTTGACTCATGCAAACAGAATACAGAACAGAAAATTCACAAGTTCTTTGAAAATGCGTCTTTTAAAAATCTGAAAGCGAATACGAAAAAGCTCATTTTGTTGCACATGTTTTAATTTTGAAATTAATTGATGCCAGCAGAAGGTTCTTATTCATTACGCTTTTTCTGCAAATGAATTTAGTTCGGACTAGTGCATAAGCCATTAGTCATCCAAAATACCGTCACATAAATTATCGAACTAAAAAAGACTCTTTTTTATTTAAAAGAGCACTTGATGGCAGTGACACTGACGGCCCATTTTCATCCGAATAAGTTAAAATGGACCCCAACATAACAAATTGCAAGTATCTCCGCTTGCAGGGTTTCAGTGCGGTGAGAAGAAAAAGAAGTGCTCACTGTGACACGGCAGATAGACTTAATTTGCATGCGAGGGCTGATGATTTTTCTCTCTTCGTCAAAACCGGAATACCATATGCTTTTTTATTGGTACTCAGCGTTTTAATTAAAATTCAACGAATATTTATGTTTTCCTTTCAAAAAAAGAGCACATTTAATTTCAGCACTAACACATCCATTTGACGTTGGCCATATTTGTACAGAGAGTCAATGTTTTTTCTCTCGCTGCAGTCCGTTCGCCTGGGTGGCTTAATTACATTTGCCATACTTGAGTTTACCTATGTTTGCTCTCTTGAGTAAATATAAATAGAAGAGAGAAAAAACACCCATGTAAACACATCAAATCATGACCGTTCAGATTGAATCACATTTTAACGAAACGGTTAGAAAAACATGTTCTGTTTCTTTCTCACACAGTCTTTTTTGGTAATCCACTCGCTAGCCTACTCGCTCACTCCCTCTCTCGTCCATTTAATTTATAGCCATCTCATTTTATTTTTCAGGCTGAAAAAACCACATAGGAATCGCAAAAGAAAGTAACGGAAAAAAAAATTAATTTTTAAATTCTTTTGTTATCATTTCAGGACTCGAAACTGCGTCAAATTGCGATGATGGGCTCGCAGGATACACTAGAGGAAAAGACTGTAACCGTTTGCTTTGGTGCTGACTTTGTAAACGTATCGTTTATTAATTTTTGTGCGACACGAAAGGAAATTGCGCAGGTAAGTTCAGTCGAGATGAATGCACACAAAAAATGCACACATCCCACAGCTTATGTAAGCTGTGACATTTGGGATTTTCTCCTTTTCGGAGAAGAAAATTAAAAAATTCATTCAGAAAGAAAAAGAAGTGAAAATGTTGTGACGTTCATTGCAATGGAAATGTTCAACCTGAAATGCGATTTATTCAGCGTGATGACTTGAAATGACTTAACTGTAGCTGGAGACAAACTCAAAACTAACTGAGCCAATTTCATTTCGCCGCGCTTGTTCAGTTTCACAGACACCGACGTCACTCAGCCAATTGAATTGTCCTCCATTTTAATGGGTGGAAAAATCCATTTTTCGTATTGAAGACAATGTTTTCCTGCTCATTTGACTTGAAAGTGGTTGGCAAAGGAGAGAGTGAACCATTACCTAATGGTCTAACGCGCTTTGTTAAACAAATGGGGAGGAAATGGCTTTTCCAATTCATAGAGCCATTACGTTTTAGTAAGATTAATGAAAATCACATTATGAAAACAATCGCCGTACAAAAACACGGCGATAGGTCATACGACACGGTTTCAATCCACGAATTCAACTCAATGGGGCGTACATACAATGAGCAATTTTCGTTTGGAAGATTAAACAAACTCAAAAGTTTGCCATCAATTTTATCCGGGGAATTTAATTGTTTGTAGATTGGAATAATAAACTGCGTCATTTTCCGTCATCAAAATGGAAAACTCGAACTATGTCCTGAAAATGGAATAAATTGGAATCTATATGGTTTTGGCAAAGATGTTTTTTTTACAACGAAACTAAATAGCAATCAAAATTACGTCAACATTTTCCATCGAATTTTTTTTATTAGAATATTTTACTGGAACTAAAAGAATTTTAAAGGAATTCTTAACTTTCATTTCACTTTTAAATTGCTTTAAATATTTACTTCGTTCTGAACTCAATTTTCCAGTTCAGCTTGCCTTGATTGGCAAGCAGCTCTTCGGAGAGACGATGCAACATTTTAGTTCTTGGATGTTTTCGTTATTCGCACGAGCAGAAAAAAGAATTGACGGTTATTCTCGTTTAAATGTCTAGAGAGATGAAATTATGATCGATTTTCTTCAGGGTTTAATATTTCGTAAAAAAAATACATTCATTTTTCCCCAAGGAATTCCAGCTCTCAGTGCATCGGGCGTGAGCGCTCGCAAAAGCGAAGTTGTTTTGCATTTTTTCATTCAATTCGATCGCATGGTGTGTGCTTTGGGCAAATTAATTTGCATTGAGAAAGGAACAGCACAGCGCAAAAGCCGATTTCCCATTCAAAGGTTGCCATTCGAATGGAAACTACATCATACGCACGATTCAATTTGATAGACGAATTTCAAATGATGTTACTGCAGTGAAATAGCATGAAGCATCCCAAATCGTGATGATATATATTCCAAACCGGATGTTCAAAGGCTGCAAAGGAAAAAAATCGGATATTGTTTGGATTCATCGTATATGTAAATCGAAGCAGCCCATTGAATTTTGCTTCCAATATTTTCTTCTTTTTTTCCCTTGTTTGCCTCATATCTCTCTCAAGGGATAAAAAATATAAACCCGGTTCATATTTCGCAGTGACATTGCATTCCAATTTTCATAAAGTAAACATGCCGCGCGACCACAATAGCACATTTTCTAAGGGAAAAAACTCCCGTTTGATTTTTGAATAGAAAATGTGCGCGTTTTGTGCATGAACCCACTTTTTTCTTTCTCTGTTCTGCTGATTTTTCCTGTTTTTCCTTCTTTTTTTCAGCAGTTTTTCTTGTTTTTTTGTCGATATTTTCTACTCTTCTGCCGATTTTTTTTCATTCTTTTGCCATTTTCTGTGTTATCTATTCTGTTTTTTCCTTGTTATTTTTTCAGCTTTTTCATTTTCACCTTATTTACTTTGTTCAGCTCTTTTTTGCCTTTACCGAGAAAAAGAATTTCCCTATCTATTCGTTTGCACATCCCGTTAGTTTCTCTCTCTCTCTCTCTCTCTCTCTCTCTCCCGTAGAATGTAAATCTAAACAACATGCAGTTGCATCGATGCACGAAAAGTGGCCGAAAGCAAAATGTTGCAGCTGTGTGCTCTTGATCAACAACTATCTCATGATAGATAGTATGTGTACTGTGTGCACTTTGTGTTCATATGCACACGAATGGTTCATTTGTCTTAAATAATAGAATCCACCACAAACAGATATGCATTGAAAAGTGTTTCACAGTAAATATGCATCCGACGCATGCCATTACTGTTTGTTGGCTGCATAAATAAATATGTATTTTGTTGCAAAATCTAATTCAAAGGAAAATAACCAAGAATTGCATTTTGCATTGCATGAATATTCGAAGTGAAAATACAGTGCATCATATTATTACACATCGCTCCTGCTCCACTGCTACCACCACACTATTTTTCTCCTTCTCATGCAATATCTACCCATTCCGCTCCACCATACACTTCTCAAATGTGACAGAGAATAAGTTTTCTTGTGATTCGAAACATACGTTGGAGTTTTGCTTCCGATTGCAAGTGTACAAAAGTGTTGTTTAGAGAATGGGAGAAAGAGCAAAAATAAACTAGAGAAAAGTCACACTTGGATAACACTTGCACAACGAAACCACATGAAACACTCTCTGTCTGTATCTGGATGCAATGAAAGCAAACAGAACTACTACCAATTGGCAGCAAGTGTACGACTATCTAAAGAAAGCATTTCAAAGTTTTGTATAAAGAAGATTTGGATGTTTATTTATCGAATGGTATTTGGTGCATTCGAAGAGATTAGTGTGTGTGTGTGCGTTTTGTTTTCAGTTTCATAAAGTTTAGTCAATGAAAAGATCGAGTTCATTTGGGAAAAAAAGAAAAAATTTCGTTGATTCTTGAAAGTTTGAGTTCATTGTGCAGCGAGTTGAATGGTTCAATTAAGTTTGTCTGTAACTCGCAGCAGCAGCAGCAGCAAACGAATTGAATTTTCGGCATAAAATATAATTTAAGCTTGGCATGGCATTCATCACTGTTCCATATGCAACAGCATTTTATGGTAATCGATTTTGGTGGCGGCGATGGTGGTGGTGGAATGGCAAAATGCGTCCTACGCAAAGACAATTCAATTTTGTGGCCGAAAATGATAATGACAAGGGTAAAATGCACCCAATTTCAGATCTTACCCGACTGATAACTGCGAAGCATTTGCAATTCGGCGGTAGTCGTGTCTACGACGACGACCTCGTCGTCGGCACAAAACGCAACAGCCGTTGCTTCGAACAAATTATTTTAGATTTTGGTCCCAAAAGTGAAATCCGGGATCAACAATGGCTAGGTTGTTGTTGCTCTTTTTGTTTGAATTGAAATTTCGTCGCGTCGCTGCTGCTACGTCTAGTGGTTGAACGGGATTCGATGACTATTCAACTGCTTCATAATGTGTATTTTCGTTTTTTTTTCTCTCCCTGCTGGAAAACTTTGAGCGAGATAAACAACAATAAACAAAACAAGGCCATTTCGGAAAGTGCCAAGATTTATGGTTGATTACAAAAAAAAGTTTAGAGAGAGAGAGAGAGAGAGAGAGAGAGAGAGAAATAGCTCTGCTCGCGTTCTCTGTTTGCATTTGGCAAAAATGGACAAAGAATTCGGAAAAGCGTTAAAAATGAGGGTATAAACCAAATTCAGAATTGTCTGCCGACAAAAAACAAAACAACAGCAACAACACTAGCTCCATAAATTCGTATATACTTCGTTCGAAACCGAAAAATTTAATTCTCCGCTTAACTGAGTCGTATTTTGACCTTATCGCCTAACATGTGAATAAAGCAGCAATAGCGAGCGCGCACAACTTTGCAAAAAGACAATCCATAAAATTTATTGTGGTGAGCTTATGTTTAATATAGTGCTTTTCGACGACGACGGCGATGACGATGACTTTGGAATGGACAAAAAAATGCTGAAACAAAAAGAGAAGAACTTGCAGACACAAACCGCTAAACGATAGCAAAATTGCTTTTCCATTGTGCGCGAACGGGAAATTCGGTGTTGGCTCTTTGAATGTGTGAATGCGATTCGCTCACTTTAGCCTTTCAATTGGTTTTATATGAAATGGAAAATGCTTGGGGCGCACTAATCAGTCAAACGATTGTTTTAAAATGGCATTGTTGGCGATGCGATGAAAAATGTCACAATTTATCCATTCAATTGCCATTCACACACGCAATGAGAGAAGGAGAGTGACACATGCGAATTGGTTATTGCTTTTGCCCTTTGGACACAGCAGTGTACCATTGTCATTGCCGATATGTTTGCCTTGAATTTATTGTGGCCAACAGTGATTTAAGCCAAGCGCTTTTTAGCACACAACCATTGCACTCGATCATAATAATGACTCGACACAAAATTGCAGCCACTAATTTATTCATTAATTTGCCAATCGATGCGAAAATGACGTCAAATGGTTTTAAGAACGAAGATAATCCACCACACTTTCTACCATATTGCATCATTTATCATTGCGGATCGTTGTTATTACTTTACAACTTTCCACTTCATGGTGCATGAGACACATCACGTTTAGCTTTCTCTTGTCTAGAGATTGTCACTGTTCGGACAACCGTTTGACTTTGTGTGTGCGTTTGGGTGCAACAAGCAAAAACGTTACAAAATATGTTCTCTTCCAAAAAGGTAAACCGTTCTCTGTTTGTTTTGGCACAGTAAATTCACAATTTGTTTGCATGAAATTGAAATGTTGTGTTCGCATCGTCGAGTGGAACGGCAATAAATTCTCCAAAATCGATAAGACCTTAATACAAGTTTTTCCATTCCCGGGCCATATTTTCATTCGATCTGAACATCTGGTTTCGCTTGACAAACTGAACAAATCGTTTAAGCAACCAAGCAAAACCGATAGCATCAGTTTATTCCACAGTTTGACTATGCTTTTTTAGTTCGAAAAAACTTTTTCGCAAAAGTGTTACATAAGACAAGACTTCAAAGCCTG